CTCTGGGAGTGCTGAGCTGGGCTGGCAGTGTCAGTGACTGAGCCCCCTCATTGTGACCCTCAGGTCTCTGCAGAGCTGCTGGAGTGTGGGGCCAGGCAGAGTGTGCTGCTCTGGGCTCACAGGGCTCTCTCTGCCCTCCTGTGCTGGCTGCTCCACTCTGCACTCAGTGACAGCTGTTTCCTGCCCCACACCCTGGAAGGAGTTGAACTTCACCTTCTTCCCTCAGGAAATGCTGTTACTGCCCAACCCTGGAGTCCCAGTGAATATTTGAACCCAAATGTTGGCCCAGAGAGCAGCTGCACATTGGAAATGCTGCTGGTGGTTACCAAAACAAACAAATGTCCATTACTGCACTTGTCATCATCAAGGAAACAATAATTTGAAGGGTATTTTTGTAAACCTTTAGGGGATAACCAGTTTAGTTCACCACAGGTGGGATACCTGTCATATCTGTAGGGCCAAAGGAGAATGAGAATAAATAGGAAATCTTAGAGGTTACACCAGCAGCAACACAAAATCCATTTTTTGCCTGTAGAAGTATCAGTGAGCCTCTCATGCAGGTACTTTGTAACACTGGGAGGAATTCCTGAACAGCTGCTGTTGGAAATGAAGTGGTGCTGAGTTGTTCTAGGGGACTTTTGAATGCCAGAGTTGAACTGGTGCCTGTAATGTGTCACCCAAAGCTCCCTGAGGAACAATGGCTCACTGGAGATTGCAAGAATCCCTTTCTCCCAGCCAGAGCAGTAATCTGTGCTAAAGAAGAGAATTTCACTGAGCTCTTGTGGCTCAGCTGGTGCTGAGTTTGCTGCTCAATGTGTGCTGTTGGTTTTTCAGACTGAGCCTCAGTGACAGTGACAGTGACAACAGCGCCGACTCGTGCCCGCCCAGCCGGGAGCCCCCTCCTGGGCAGAAGCTGCCCCCAGCAAACAACAAGGTGTGAAACCCCTGCTTCCCCTTCCCAGTGCTGAAATGGTTGTGTTTGTTTGCCCTGCCTTGGAAATCCTTCCTTGCACCACATTTTCCCTGTCCTGTCCTCAGCTGGCAGGTGATCCTCCCTTTCCAGCTCTCTGCTGTGACACCCCCATGTTTCCTGAGCTCATTGGGTTGGTTTTCTTTTCCCCTCAGGCATCTGGAAGGAAAAGCCCAGAGTCTTGTAACAAACCAGAGAAGATCCTGAAGAAGGGAACATATGACAAGGTGTGTCCTGTGGAGAGAGCCTAGAGGGACAGGACACAGGGAATGGCTTCCACTGAAAAAATGAAATTTAGATGGGATTTTGACAGGAATTGTTCCCTGGGAGGGTGGGCAGAGCAGTGGGGCTGCCCCTGCATCCCTGGCAGTGCCCAAGGCCAGGCTGGGCAGGGCTGGGAGCACTCAGGGACAGTGGGAGGTGTCCCTGCCATAGCAAGGGTGGCACTGGATGGGCTTTGAGCTCCCTCCAACCCAAACCATCCCAGGATTCTCTGATTAAGGAGCTGAGTTTAATCAGAGGATGGTTGGGCCTCACTGTGCACAAAACCACCTGAATCAGCCCAGCCTGTTCATTGTTCTGTCTCAGCAGGGTAAAAGCTTGAGTTGAACAAAAAGCAGATGTTGAAAGGACAGGTTTTGGAGAGTGACACTGCAGAAATTGTGTACATTAAATAGCTGGAGCCCCGGGGGGTGTTCATAGGCAAAATGCTGAAATTGTGGTGTTTGTTTGCCCTTTGTCTGAACCAATGGCCTGGTCACTGGAGCACTTCATTAAAAGGCACTTTCATCTGGCTTTGGTCTTCTAAATTAAAGATTATTTGATGCTCTGCTTTGCAGGTTTATTTGGAGCCTTTGTTTGTTCAATGAAATTCCCTCCTTCCTTGCCTCCAGGGAGGGCAGAGCAGTGTCCATTCTGTGATTCACTGATTCTGTAAATCAGTTTTGCTGATACAGACCTGTTGCTTAAAAAAACCCTAAAATTAAGAAAAAACCAAACCACTCTTACCTAAGAACAACCAACATTTTGAGCCTGTGAGCAATCCTTCATTTCCTGCTGTGGTTTAGGTGAAACCACCTGGGAAGTGCACTCCAAGGATTTTTCCTTACATACATTCCTTACATAGATGCAGATGATTGCTCAGTAGATTACTGGGTTTTGGTCACTGATGTTTTCAGGTAATTTGGAGTTAATTAGGAGAACCCACTGATGAAGAGCTCACACTGAGGGTCACCAAGGTGAATTTCACCTCACTGAGATCCTTAAAGGTTCTGCCCAGTTTTTGGAGCTGGTTACAGGTGTGGGTGTCATTAAATAAACAAACAATAAAAGGCCTTCAGAGCACTTGCATTTAAGAGAAGTACTTGAGAAGGAGGAGGAGGAGGCAGTAAAAAAGTGGGGAAAACTTGGGAATGTCTGAAATGGCCTCAAATTCTTGTGATCCTCACTGGGGAGGTCCCTTTGGCAGCTCCAGGTGTCCCTGTTTGTGTTTCAGGCCTACACGGATGAGCTGGTGGAGCTCCACAGGCGGCTCATGGCACTACGGGAGCGCAACGTGCTCCAGCAGGTACAGACCCTGGCCCTGTGTCCCTGTGTCCCTGTGTCCCTGTGTCCCTGCTGTCCCTGCATCTGGGGTCCAGGGGCTCAGCCAGGCCCTTCCACACAGCTTCTGCTTTGCTTTGAAAGCAAAAATACCGAGTGAAAAATAAAATCAGCTGTGCATGCAATGGCTTTGTTGGAAACGGTACTGGAGTGTGGTGTGGGCATCTTCCCTCTGCCATGCTGGTGGCAATCCCAAAGGGGGCATCTCCTGGGCTGACTGACAGCTTGGGCTGACTGACAGCTTCCTCCTGGGGGGAGATGGAGGGGCAGGGACAGGAGCCCAGCAAGGGCTGCAGCTGTGCCAGGCCTTGGCATGGAGCTCAGGGCAAGGTTCTGCCCCCCGAGGCTGCTGGGCACTGCCCAGGCTGCCCAGGGAATGGTGCCAAGGCTGCCAGAGCTGCAGGAGCTCCCAGGGGTGCCCAGGGTGGGGCTGTTGGGTTTGCTCTGCATGGACTGGGGATGCACTGGGGATCCCCTCCCAGCTCAGGATATTCTGTTATTTTATGATTAAAAGGAAACCTGCCCACATCCCTCTCCAGGCTGAGCTGGTCAGGCAGGCAGGGGGAGCTGGTTTGCTTTTTTGGGAAAGCCTGGCTGGGCTCTGTACCCTCTGTGCTGTACTCACATCCATCCCCCTTCTCCAGATCGTGAATCTCATTGAGGAAACCGGGCATTTCAACGTCACCAACACAACCTTTGACTTTGACCTCTTCTCCCTGGATGAGACGACCGTCCGCAAGCTGCAGAGCTACCTGGAGGCCGTGGCCACATGACGCTGGGCCTGGCAAGCTGGCTCTGCTCTTCACCCAACATCCCCTCCACTGGTACCAGGAAACCACCCCATGGAACTAGGCCTTCTTATCCTCCTGCCTCACCCGAAGAAGCACTGCCTTAGAGACCAGCCATGCTCTAGGAATGCTCAGCCAGCTGCACTTTTCTTGTAGGCTTCAAACCAGCGCCCGCCTTGCTGAGCCTGTGCCCGGCCCTGCCTTTGTGGGCCAGGCCCCCAGCAGAGCGGGCGTGCTGCACTTAGGCTGCACAGCGCGACCTTTTCGGTTTCCCTTGGAGCAACTGTGTTTCAAGAGCACGTTTTGCAGGCATCTCTGAGCTCTGAAGAAGCGTGGATGCTGTTCCCTTCCCCTGGAGCTCTGCCCCGCGCCCTGGGGGTGCCATCGGCTTTGTCAGAGCTGGCCGGGACACTGGGGACAACAGGAGGCTCCTGCTGCTCTGCTGCAGGGGAGAGGGGCTCAATCCCAGCTCCATCCCAGCTGGGATCACCCTCTGGTGTGGGGACAGGACCCTCTGTGCTCGGTGAGGAGGCCTCTGGAACCTTCTGTCTCCTGCTGGGCTTTGGAGATGTCTTGTTTGTTGATCTGAGCTCCTAAACAAAGTCCCACTCCTTTCAGTCTGCTTTAACTGTAATAGGACTCCAAAACTGTAAGCTGTATATTTTATATATATATATTATATATATGTATGTACTGTATGTATAAGAAGGGCCTAGTTGGGTCTGATGATCTTAAGGGTGTGTTTTTCTGTTGTTTTTTTATGGCTCTGGCAGGGGAAGGCGCTTAATAAGATTTGACTCTTGTGGACAATTTGTAGTGTAAGGAAGCTGGACAGCAACCTCCAGGCATCCCATGCTCCAGAAGGGGCTCACCCATCGTCTTTCCATTTGTCAGTGTTTGATAACTTTGCCAAAACATGTGATTGGTTTTGTTCTGTGTTCTCAAAGAGGAATCTCCTTACAGTGGCCCCTATAGTAGTGGCTGTACTTGGGGAAAACCAAAACAAGGGAGAGCTGAAATCTTTGGACACACCTGGGAGATGCTGATGTAAATAAAACACAAAGTGGAGCTGGCTTTGTTCCCTCCTCCCTCTCCCACCCCCTGCCTGTGCAGGAAAAGGCAGAAACAGAAACACTAATGCAGCCCCTCCCTGGATTTCTAGTTAAACTAGGATTGACCTCCAAGTGTTGTCCAGGTGGGCAGGGGCAACCCCAGCCCTCCCTCCAAGCTGGGTTACACTCCTGCTCCCTACATTCAGTATTTGCCCAGGAATTGCTGGTTTTTCCAAGGGCTCTGGAAGCTTTGCCAAATGGGCACAGGCAGTGTGGGAGCCCCTCTGCTCTGCCCAGGGAGGGCTGAACCCCTCCAGGTTTGCTGTCCCTTGTTTTGGGTTCCCCCTTTCTTTATCATGGAAATGTTGCAACTAATCAACTGAAGTGGCAATATGATGATAAGCTTGTTTGAGTTGGGTCATGTTGACCCGATTCCCATTAATTTTGTCCTTGTACCACCTTTCATGTGTTGTGTGTGTGTATATATATATATATATGTGTGTGTATATATATATATATATATGGAATTCAAGCTCATGCTGGGTGCAAACCCTGTCACACCAGTGATCTCAGCTCTTTTCTTTCTTGCTGGGCGATGCCAGGGCTGGATGGAAAGGCCAGGGAGCAGAGGGGGAGGTGGCAGCAGGACACCCACCCTGGTCACAGCCTGTGTCCCTGTGGGGCTGTGCCAGCTCTGTGCCCACCCTGGTGTGGGGCTGGTGGCACTGAGGGCGGCCAGGCTGAGCCCCAGCTCCACTGAGTGCTGCCCCCTCCTCCTGCACTCACAGACTGTCCCAGCTCCAGAGCTGCCCCTCAAGGCACTGGAGGTGCCACCCTGCCCTGGCACACCTGCAGGAGGCTCTTCTGAGCCTGCCATGGCATCGTCCTGTCCTGGAAGTGACTTTGTTGGTCAGTCTGCTGAGCATTGATAGGGATTTCGTTTGGTTTTTATAAGAAGTATTTTACACATGGATTTTTTTAGACTGTTTATAATCCCCCCAGCCCTGAAAACCCGAGGTAGGATTGTTCCCCAGCAATAGTTCCTCTCCATTGTGTGCACATGCTGATTTGTTACTAAAAGGTTTTTGCAAGTACTTAGTTGTTCTACAGAGTTGATGTTTTTTGGGGTATGTGGTAGCGTGGGGAGCACAGGGGGGGTGGCTGCAGAGCAGGGTTGGTCACTTTGGGCCTCACCTTGTGTCCCCCTGCAGGTCCCTGTGTGATTCCCTCTAGGCTGGCTGAACGCTGTTCTGAACATGCCGTGTACAGGTTTTTGTGGATAAAGTGTTTGTTCTTGTGTCACTCTTGAGAGCATGGATGGATTATTGTACTCTAGGAAGGAGGGGGCAGTGCTGCTGTGGGCATTGCTTCAGGTCCTCGAGGATGTGTAGTAGCTTGCGTTGTTTAAAAAAGGAAGAAAACAAAAAAAAGAATCCCAAATTGACTTGTAGCCATAATGGTTTTTCCAAGGAAAGTGGGCAGGACTCTGTTCCTTTTGCCTCTGTTCCTTTTCCCTGTTCCTTGTGGTGCTGCTGCTGGCACAGCCGGTGCTGGCAGCCCGAGCTGGAATCGTGTTGGAGGCAGGCTCGGGATTCGGCTCCTCCATCCTCCAGGAGGGTCAGGAGCCTCGAGGCTTTGATTACTGACATGACCATTAGGAAAGTTTAATAAAAGGAGAGGAGAGGAAGGCTGGCTTGGCAGCAGAGCCCAGCTGGGTGTTTGTGCCTGAGCTCAGGCTGCAGCCATGGACGTGCAATCTCTGCCACCTGTGGGATCGTGGGGTGCCCTGGGAGCATCAGAAGGAGCCGAGCATTGATGCAACAATCCAGAAACAGTTTCATTGTCACATCTTGGACCGTGTTTGATGGTGAGAGAGTTAAAACGTCCCTCCAGGAGGGGCCTCTCCAGGAGCAGAGCCCAGAGAGGCTCCAGCTCCACTTTTCCACTGGGGATGTGCTGGAGCCAGCTCTGCTCCCAGGAGGCTCCTCCCTGCCGAGACTCCCCTGGTGCACCTGGCACGGGTGAATCAGTGCTCAAAGGACCCAGGTGGGTGTTGCTTTCCTTTGATAGCCATCAAAAACTGACAAGATGAGTTTGCACTCCTAAAGAAAAATGTAAGTACTTCAACTTCTAGAGAATTTTTAATTGTATTTCTGCCTAGAGCCGAGGTATTAAATACCTCAGCACCTGAGGATTTTAAAAGTTGTGTTGGGAGAAAAGTTCTTCACTCAGCTGGAAGAAATGCAGCTGAGCCAAGACTAACTGCAAGATTAAAAAGAAAAAAAAAATACACAAAAAAACTCATGTTTGTAATACGTTACAGGATTGTTTGTCCTGAATTTTAAACTTTTTGTTAAATTTGTGGAACTATGGAGGAATTTTCTAGAAAAAGTGAAATAAAGTAAGATGGAAAAGTAAAACTTGGAAGTGTTTTTCAGTTGTGTTGTTTCTCCAGGGATGGCAGTGTGGCTTTCCCAAAACCCCTCATGGCACAGGAAAAGCCAAGGAAAAGGGAATTATTTTAACATGGGGTGACTCCCGTGTCCCTTAATCCAGCAGAGCTTTGTCTGCTCAGTGAGGGGTCCCTGCCCTTGGAGCAGGGTTTGTGTGGGATCTGAGGGTCCCCCCTGCAGGACAGAGCCTGGCATGGGCACTGCCCTGGCACAGGTAAAGGGTGGCACCGTCCCTGTGCTTGGTGCCCTGGGCACAGCTCAGCTCTCCCTGCCTGAGCAAACCCCCCCTGCTCCGTGCCAGGAACCAGAGAGAGCTCAGAGACACAACCAGAGGAGTTTATTTCACTTGGACACAGCAACTGCAGCCAGCTCAGCACACAGGGGAGCTGCAGGTCCTGCAGTGCATTCAGGCTCTGCAATTCCACCGACCCACAGCTCTGCTGTGGTTTCATTCTGTCACTGCTGTGACACCAGCGCTGCTCCCTGTGCTCCTGCTGTCCAGGGAAAGGGAACTGGAGCCAGAGCTGGGAGGGTTCCTGTGTGCCCTGAGCCCTTCCCAGCCCTCCCTCCCTGCTGGAATTGCACAGGAGCTCCAGGCCGGGCCAGGCTGAGCTCTCCCTGCAGCAGCTGCACAGCTCTGGGCTGGTTGAGCACAGAGCAGGACCTGGCTGAGCTCCCAGCACAGCCCCTCAGCCCCCACAACAGACACCACAACACTCCTGAATTGTAAAATACAGACACATTTCACACATTGTACACAGCCTTATAAATAATCCCTGGAGTAAATCACTTCTTAGACTACCAGCCATGGATACAACTTCAACAATACAATTTATGGCTTCATTATAACTCAAAAAGGTAAAACAAACTCAAAATATTGCACAGACAAGCCCAGTTCATGTGAGGTTCCACCTCCACTGCTGTGTGTAGTCACACAGAGCATTTGTCATCTCAGACAGGAATAGTTTGTGGGGAAGGAGATTTAAAATTATGAGGATGCCATCAGCATGCAGGGAAACGTGCAGCAGGGAGTGAGGACACTGCTGGAAAATGAAATCTGCTTTTCTCCCTCAGCAGAAAAAGGGCAGCTCCTGATTTGCAGCTCCTGTTTTACATTCATCTCAGGAAAAGAAAACTTTGGTTAGAACGTAACAGATCCCAGGGATTTCAGGTAAACATCATATCGCCCTTATAAAAATGGAAATAAAAAATACGAAGCTGAGATATTTGGGACATCTCAGCAAGGGACACAAGACACAGGAGAACATGGGCAGGACCACGCTCACCACACTGCAGGACATGGACAGCAAAGGGGCTGCCTGAAGGCTGAGCTTCTTTATTTCAGCAGGATCCACCCGGGGAATCCCTCGTGGGCAGCTGGAGTGTCCTGGGGGCGGTTCCAGGGCGGGCCCTATGGCCGGGCCGAGGGCTCCCCCGAGGGGGGTTCGGTGTCCGTGTAAAACTGAGCGATCCGGTCCCGGTATTTCTGAGCCACCACCGGCCTCTTCAGCTTCATGGTGGGGCCTGTGGGCAGCCAGCAAAGGGTTAAAGGGGAGAGCAGCACTGGGAGCAGCCAGCGGGGCTGGAGGGGAGGCAGAACACGGGAACAGGGACCTGAGAGAAGTTCTGAACTTCTCCTTGGGTTTAATGGAGTGCCCCTCCCTTCCTCTGTGAGCCAAAGCAGCAGCCAGAGGGAACGGTCCCTGTCACAGACATCTTTTAATGAAAATCCTTTCCTTGGGGTTTTTCCTCCTGAGAAGCTGAGAAGCCTCAGGAACAAAATGTAAACATTGATTATCTGCTGCTGTGGGATGCAACAGGTGCATCTGTGATTGGTCTCATGTTGTTGCTTCTAATTAATGGCCAATCACAGTCAGCTGGCTTGGACACGGGGCCCGAGCCACAAACCTTTGTTATCATTCCTTCCTGTTCTATTCTTAGCCAGCCTTCTGATGAAACCTTTCTTCTATTCTTTTAGTACAGTTTTAATGTAATATAGATCATAAAATAACAAATCAAGCCTTCTGAAACATGGAGTCAGATCCTCATCTCTGCCCTCACCCAAGAACCCCTGTGAGCAGGGTCACAGGTCCCAGCCCCACGCCCAGGGATTCCCCCAGGGAATGGTGCCAAGGCTGCCAGAGCTCCCAGGGGTGCTCAGGGTGGGGTTTTGGGGTGGCTGGGCAGGGACAGGGCTGGGCTGAGCATCCCTGAGGGTCCCTCCCAGCTCAGGATGCTCCACAGCACAAGGTGAGCGCTGCTGCACTCTGCTGTGGGGCAGGACTGGGAATTCACCCCAGGTTATCCCAGCCCAAAGTGGAAAAGCCACAGGGAGGCAAGGCCAGGGCAGCTCTGTGCTTTGGGGCTGTGGTTGTGCTGATGCCCAGTACCAGGGAAGGGGCACAGGGCACACCCAGACACTCACCAAGCTCTCCACCAAACAGGGAGAAGTCCTTCTCCAGCAGGACCCACTTCTGCACTTTCTGGGCATTGGACACAGCTTTCTCATTGACAGCAGAGATCCCTTTCTGGATGGCAGTGTAGATGGCCTTGTCTTTGCTGCTGATGATTTCTGAGACCTTGGTGGCCTTGCTGCCCAGCCTCTGACAGAAGGCCAGAGCTTCTGGACTGAGCTCATCTCCAGGCTCACCAGTGTCTGCATCCACCACGCACTGCAGGCCAAGCACAGCAGCAACTGAGCACCTGAGGCTCTGCACCAGGAGCCTCAGCCCTGGGACAGCTCCTGGGGTCCCTTCCCTGCCCCACTCCAGCCCCAGCAGCTCCTCAGCTCCCATCCAACCCCTGGCTGCCAATGGAAACTTGGCACAAACACAGATAAACCCTCAGGTCTGTGCCTGCTCAGGAGCCCATCTGCCCAATTCCTCCCGTGCTGCCCAAAGGTAATCTCTGTCCAAAGCCAATCTCTGCTTTCCAGACCTTTTCTGGAGCACAATTCACTTCCCTGCCCTGTGCAGGAGCAGTTTTGGGGTCACACACAGCCCTCAGCCATGACAAGAGCAGCAGGGCCACCCCCAGGCCTGGCTCAGATCTCCTGCCCAGGCCAAGGCTGCTGGCCCTGCTCTCAATTCCCACTGACAGTCAGCACAGGCCACCAGAGCTGTGTCCTGGTGCAGTTTAAATCCAGAATCTGACAAAGAAATCCCTGACAGCTTTTTACCTCCCACACTGCTCTGGGAGAGACTGAAAGAGGTGAGGAGAGCAGAAGGGTTTCCTTTTCCAGCCTCACTTTTGGGTCTTTTCCTTCTGTTTTTTCCTGCCCTCTGTGGCACAGCAAAAGCTGCCCTGAACAGCAGCAGGGCCTGATGGCCTGGGCAGTGACAGCTCTGTGCTTTCAGCTGCTCTTGGCAGCTCAGCTGCAGCCAATTGTGCTCCACAAGACACCAAAAATGTGTCACAGCTCTTCCTCCCTGCAGTGACTCAGGTTCAGCAGCACAGGTGGTGGATCCCCATCCTCTCTGCCATTACCTTTAGTGTCAGGAGCATGGAAAGGAATTTGGCTTTGTCTCCAACCAGCATGGCATTGCTGATGATGGGAACAGCGTTCTTGACAGCATCCTCGATTGGAACAGGAGGAATGTTCTCACCTCCTGCTGTGATGATGAGCTCTGGAAAACAATCAAATCCTGATTAATGCTTGGAGCTTCTCCCCTTCCCACAGTCTGCAACAACTCAACTGCTCCTTTGGCTCCAACAGGGAGTCTGGGACAGTCACAGGGTGACCATCCCCAAAAACGTTCAGAAATGTGGGGATTGGAACATTTTAAAGGGCTTTTCCAGCTGATCCCTGACTGCAGCAAGAGGAGCAGGAGCTGCTCCCACTCAGCCCAGCCAGAGCTGCCCTGGGGCTCCAGGGGTGTTTGCAGCCTGGCAATGCAGCTGAGCCCCTTGGCACAGCTGAGCCTCTAAAGCTCCTAAGTTGGCACCCAAATTATCAGAAACTGGAGTGAGAGGAGGTTCCTGTGTGTGCAGAGCACAAGGCAGCCCCAGCTCCATCTCCTGTTCCTCAGAGCTGCACCTCCCTCTGTTCAGGGCTGAAGCTTTGAGTGACCTTGGCTGTGTCTGGGGTTGCCCAAACTCTGTCCCAAGAGCCACATTGCCCCAAGGCACTTGCACAAGAGTGTTAAGCTGCTGTTTTCCTTGGAGGTCACCCTGCAAAGCTCCTGAAACTTTGAGCTGCTGATAAAACAAACCCACAAAGCACCAATTGCACTGGTGCTGAAATCAGAGAGCTGAAATCAGAAGATTGAAATCAGAAGATTGAAATCAGAAGATTGAAATCAGAAGATTGAAATCAGAAGATTGTCCCTCACTCTGCAAACACACCCTGGCTCCAGAGGCTGCCCCTCTCCTCCCACCCTGCAGCCACATTCCAGTGAAACTCCAGGATGAGGAGGATTTGAATATTCTTCTGTGCAAGTCACAGCCACACAACCAGCAGAGCACCCCCTGTACCAGAGGAGGTTTGGATTTTTCCCGATATCCAGGTTAAGCTGGATATTGGGAAAAATTTCTTCACAGAACTGGAACAGGCTGTCCAGGGCAGTGCTGGAGTCACCATCCCTGCAGGGATTCACAAGATGGGACAACTGGGGACATGGGGACACAGTGGTGGCCTTGGCAGTGCTGAGGGAACAGTTGGGCTCCATGAGGCCAACTCATCATCATCACCATCATCACTGATTTCCCAACATCAAAATGAATTTCCCAACATCGACACCTCACTGATTCCACAGTGCTGCACAACACCAAGACAAAGTCAGGGGATGTGTCACCTTTAATTCTGCCTGTGATGAAGAGGAATCCATCCTTGTCATGCTTGCCCAGGTCCCCTGAGTGCAGCCAGCCATCCTCATCAATGGCTTCTCTGGTTTTGTCCTCCATGTTCAGGTAGCCCATGAAGACATGCCTGCCTGAGAAGCAGATCTCCCCAATGCCATCCATGTCTGGTTTATGGATCAGGGTGTGGCACCCTGACAGCACCTTCCCACAGCTGAAACACAGCAAGGATTCATTTATTTTAAACTGAATTCAAGCAGAAGTTACAGCAGCACCTCTCAAGCTGGAGGGCTTGAATAAAGCCCAGCAGCTTTTTAGCACAGGAGTTCCAGCAAAGAGCTTTAAAGGCATCTGCTCATGTGAGGACAGCTGCAGAAAGAGTTGTTACTGCAGAGCTCAGTGCTCACACACCTGCTGGCTTGCACTCATTGCTCTCAACACCAGATTTATGTCCTTGGCAGCAAACTTGCACTGTGCAGACTGAACGAGCTGCTCAAAGACACCCTGAACCCTTCAGTCATTGAAGGGCAGGGTGGAGTTACCAACTTTTCCTTCTTCCCCAGCTCCCACAGAAGCCAGCCAAGGTCAATCCCATATCCCCAGTGGCAGCAGGGCTGTGGGGATGAGCTGCAGCGGGACAGACGGACGTGCCAGGGGCAGAACTCCCAGGCGGGCGCTCACCTGCCGAGCTTGAAGGCGTGAGGGAGGGAGATGGTGTGGGGCCCAGAGCTCTCACTCATGCCATAGAGCTCCATCACGGGGATGTTGAGGCTCAGGAAGAACTCCAGGGTCTCTCTGGTGATGGGGGCAGCCCCAGTGTAGCACTTGGTGCAGCGCTCCAGCCCGATGGCCTTGCGCACCTTCCTGTACACCAACTGCCGGGCCAGGCGGAAATTCACCGGCTCGTCCAAGCGCCTGCACCAGGAAAGGGACACAGGTACAGCTCCTCCCCTTCCTCCTCGCATCTTCATCCTCCTTCAGTTCATAGAAAATACAGAACTCCTCCCCCTCATCCTTTTATCTTCGTCCTACTTCAGTTCATTCAGTAAAATAATGGATTATTTCCCCCTCCAACCCTTGCTGCTCCCCCTCGAGTCCAAGTTACACTGCTCTTATATCACAGACATATTTTATGAAAAATCCTTTCATTACAATCTTTTCTCCTAAGAAGCTGAGAAGTTTCAGCTTCTCCATGTTTTGCTGCTTTGAATGTGATTTGGAGAATTGTTTACCCAGCATGTGAATTGTTTTTACTTGATAACCAATGACAGCCACCTGTGTCAAGGCTGTGAGCAGTCACAAGATTTTATTATCATTCCTTTCTATTCCTTTCATGCCTTCTGATTAAATCCTTTTCTTCTAATCTTATAGTGTAGTTTTAATACATAATTATCTTTTAATATAATATATATAATAAAATAATAAATCAGCCTTCTGAACCATGGAGTCAAGATTCTCATCTCTTCCCTCATCCTGGGACCCCTGCAAACACCACTACAGTCTGTCACATGAGATAAAATCCTGGAATATATGGAATATAACCCCTGGATGGAATAAAATCCCTGATCTGACAGCAAAGTTCTCCTAAAAACTCATCAGCATCCCTGTGATGTAGCTCATAATTACCCATCCATCTTCTTGAGGTTGGTCTGCAGCCCCACTCCCTTGGCCCACGCTGCCACTTTCCGTCGGATCGCTGAGGCTTTCATGCCCACGGATTTCATTTTCTCTTCCATTTTCTCCCAGACACGAGGAACTCCCAGAAAAGCAGTTGGCCTCACTTCTCGCAGGGTCTCCACCAAGCTGCCCTGAGAGAAGCAGGATTTAATGCAGTTTTTAGAAGTGACTCACTGCAGACTTCAGGTCAGTACTGGTCACTAACAAAAACTTGGGAGTCTGCCATGAGTTTTGAGGAATTGTTTGTTTTCTGCAGCACCACCAAGAAGGGAACCCCTGAGGCATTTCAGTGGGAATTGTGAAGGGAGCAAGGGTCAATGCTTTCAGTGACACAAGAATCCTTCACTCAGGACTCAGGTTTAGCTGGGGCCATGGTGCAATGTGGGCAGAGCAAACACGAGGCTGTTGCTCAACCAGTTCTTGATGTGGCATCAGGTGTCAGGTGAGAACTCAGCAGATCCCAGTTGTGAAGTGCTGGGTCAGCTTCTCCCAGTTTGTGACTGAGTCAAAAGCTCAGGCTTCAGTCAAACCAACAGGGGCAGCTGGTCAGTGGGCAAAGTAAACCCAGTTAGGAAAGCTGAGAGAACCACAGGATAACACAGCCTTGTTTCAAGCACCTGTGGGAATCCACAAAATCAGAGGGCTTTGGGAAAGCTGCAAAAGGCAGGCCTCAGAGACAGAGAACTGTGATTAGAGCTAAGCAGCAGCCATGAGATAGCTCAGCAGAAAAAATATTTAAACTGTAGAAAAGTAAGGACAAACAGAACAATGGTCTGTGTATTAACACTTGTCTAGAATAACTCCCTAAGCTACAAAAAAGTTTATCTAGCAGGATATTAGGAAGTTTGAAGCTTAATAATGGAGCTCTGTGCATTGTGTTTGAAGGCTCACAAGCAGGTATTGTATTTGAAATAAGCAAGCATTGTTTAACCAAAGGCACGTGGGCTTATAGTGGTTGGATAGAACCACTGTCAATACAGAATATATACTATACAGATATAAATACTGTCAATGTGCTTTTGCTTTGTGTGATTGGTCCAAAAACTTATAAAGTGAGTTGTAACATTGAGTTCTTGGGATGTGAGCTGCTGGCATCTTCCCATTGTTATAACCATGTAATGAGACTGATGCTGGAAAATCAAACAGCTCAAGGCACGTTCTACAGCAGCCCCATCCCATTTGTGATTTGTACACAGATCCCAGCTGGCAACAGAACCCACCCCAGCTCAAGCAGGTGGAAGAGTGTAAGTTTATTATTTTTTTTTTTACCTTCAATGCATCTGGTTGGGCAAAGTAAACTTGCACTCCGAGGGCCATGGCTGCCCAAATGTCACACATCTGTGCAGCAATGTGGCTCAGGGGCAGGTAGCTGACCACCTCCTCCTGCTTCTCCCGGGCGTCCCTCAGCATGATGAAGCGCGCGGCCGCCGCCGCCGTCCACGTCAGCTGCAACAGCAACAGAGGGGC